GCAATCCAGTTTGGGCGACAGAGTGAGACTCCAACTCAAAAAAAAAAAAAAAAAAGATCTATACTCTGAGAGATACCTGTCAACAAGGCATTGGACCAGACTGAGCAAAGCTTCAGAAAACACCCCAGAAAGCATCCTGGTTCTTTGTAGTTTCCAGTTGACAAGTCTCACTCAACAAGTGGTTTCTAATAAAGACATGAAATAATATACCACCTATAAATATATGTGTAAAGATACTCCTTAAATTAGCAATGCCAGCGTCATTAATAATTTGAAGGTGTTTTCTTTTTTCCTTAATTTTCTATTTTTTGCTATAATAAACATATATTACATATATAACTAAGTTTTTTGTTTTTTTGCTTTTTGGTTTTGAGATGGAGTCTCACTCTGTCACCGTTTTAAAAGAACCGCTGGGCATGGGGGCTCACACCTATAATCCTAGCACTTTGGAAGGTGGAGGCAAGAGGACTGCCTGAGCCCAGGGGTTGAAGACCAGCCTGGGCAACTTGGCAAGACTTTGTCTCTACAATAAATCAAAAAATTAGTCAGATGTGGTGATGTGCACCTGAGGTTCCAGTTACTTGAAAGGCTGAAGCAGAAGGATCGCCTAAGCCCAGCAGGTAGAGGCTGTGGTAGCCGTGATTGTGCTGTGAGACTCTGACTCAAAAAAAAAAAAAGACCAAAAAAACTAAGTCCTATTATATATCCAAAGTTCCAATTAAATAAATGCTAACATATAAATAATAAGAATGAAATATTGCTAGTTTTTTCCTTACACTGCTTACCTTATTCACTAAAAGGTAGCAAATGAGTGCTGAATCCTCCTTTCCGAGAAGCTGGAACCACAGTAACTGGGAAGGCTTCAGTTCTCTTTGTAACCACACCTTCCCAGTTTCGGTGAGTTCTACTCCCGCCAGCTTAACCAGCAAAGAGCCACACGGCTCTTCTAAAAAGGTAGAAAAGTGTTTAGCTTTAATAGCATGTTGTAAAAGCAAATTCCAAAGTCATCTGGCCCCAAAAAACAACCAAATATATTATGTTTATTTATAAATACCCAGACTCTCTACATTTAGGTCCATTTATTTCCAAATTTTAAAACAATACAAGTGTATAACAGATTGGAGTAATTTCAAAAACCCATTTCAGTAAACTCAGAAACAGGAAGTGAGATTTAACCAATTTAACCTTTTTTCAACCTTTCTGACTTATTTATACATGTATACACACAGGGCTATATACCTGGAGTTTAATAATATGGGCTGTTACCGTCAAGAGAATTGTAGGAATTGCTACTTCACCTAACAACTTATTGAGGATATCTTCCCATCTCAACAAATATTCATCTATATCAACATTTCATATTTTATACATTTTGCAAAACCGACTTCATCAGTTGACATTTGAAGTACCACAGTATGAAGATCTGTTTATCAAACCCTTAACAGAATTTTAATGAAAACATCAAAAACCTTATTTTTACTTTCAGAGATAAGAGAAATTTTGAATAATTTCCTCACTAGACAGCAGGTTTTGTGGCTACTATAGGCCCATGCCCATTTTGTTTGCCACTATACAAAGGGAGACTTAAAAACCCCAGAATTTACTTATTAAAAAACTGAGCTGGGTGCAGTGGCTCAAGCCTGTAATCCCAGCACTTTGGGACGTGGAGGCAAGAGGATTACCTGAGTCCAGAGGTTCGAGACCCGCTCGGGCAACTTGCTGAGACTTCATCGCTACAATAAACTAAAAAATTAGCTGGGCATGGTGGTGCATGCCTATAGTTCCAGCTACATGGAAGGCTGAGGGGGAAGGATTGCCTGAGCCCAGCAGGTCGAGGCCGTGGTGGCTGGGAGCGTGTCACTGCACTCCAGCCTGGGTGACAGAGTGAGACTCCAACTCAAAAAATAAATAAAGAAACAAAAAGTGTATTTACTCTTACACATTTAAACTTCAGTCACCTTCAAAGTACTCTCCATTTGATGCAACGCACCTATGGAGATGCTTTTTCTACTTCTCAAAACAATTTTTGAACTTATCAACTTGGAAGCTTTTGAGTGCTTCTGTTGTGTTTTGTTTCACCTCTTCCACATCACCAAAACGTTTCCCTTTGAGGACTTTTTTCATCTTGGAAAAAAAAAAATTGCTTGGGCGAGATCAGGTGAACAGGGGGATGAGACACAGGGGTCATGCCATGTTTGGTCAAAAACTGCTGAACACTCAGCATGGTGTGGGTAGGTAGGTTCATAAATAACCCATCATGAAATAGGCAAATGTGTTGAAAGAATCTCAAAAAAAAATCCACTGAAACCAAATGCAGCCTCTCACAATACTAGCTGGTACACCGATGCCGATAGGTTCCCAGAACTCTTACCTGGTGGAGGAAACCTATATTACAAAGGACCCACCCTTCAAAAGATAATTCTGGGGTTTTTTGGGGTCCCCCCTTGTATACTGAGACTGTAGTAATAGGGTAGGCATTTGGTAAATATCTGCTGAAATAATGAAGCATTTGAAAAGTTGCACTTTATAAACTTTTTAAGATCTGTACTAAATCATTACATTTGTAGTGGTTAACATCTACTGAGGGGTTTAACACATATGTTCATTTGTGTGTGTGTGTGTGGTGTGTGTTGTGTGTGTGTGTGCGCCTCCTCATTTATATAGACCAGAGATAAGATCACAGCAGGGAGGCATGTCACAGAATAGTCATGAGAACAGAGTCATGGAAATCTCCTAACTCTCTCATCTAATGGTGGTGGGAACCACAGGCCAGAACTAGAAACAGAACACAGGTCTGCATACCAATACATGTTCTACTACGCCATGCAGGCTCTACTATGACACTGAATCATCAAACCTTCCTGGTTAAGAATGACCTCCATTTTTAGAACCTGAATCTTAGCCCCCCTCATAACAAGGTCCAACATTCACATCTATCATGCAGGCCAGGAAGTAAAAATAGTGAAAGGAACATAAGGAGCTTTTCATGAATAGCTATTTTCAATGGAGATTATGCTCTAGCATCTTATTATATCATTCAAAATGGAGAAGATTATGCTCTAGCATCTTATTATATCATTCAAAATGGTGTTTCTAGTTCTAAAACTATTTTACAGGTTATTAGGTTTCATGTCTGAAAGTACAAAGTGATCTTTTTCACATAAGCAATGAACGCCAGTCACAAAAATCATTGCACTTGTAGTGAGGGGTATAACACATATGTCTATCTGTTTTTTTAATTCCAGTGTCTATACATGAGTTCTGAAATGTGTGGCAGAAAATCTGTTTTCTAGCTTGGATTTTATCAATTATTAGATCGACCATATTTGTGGCATTTAATCTCTAGAGAAAATAAGCGAAGAAGAAAAGTAAAGTGGGAATTAAGGCTTTCTGAAGTCCTTTCGGCTCTAACATTTTGATTCTACGTACCAAGTTACACAAATACATTATTTGATGTGAAACCCATTAATAATCATCATCACCTATGGCAGTTACAGTACTGTGGCACTACATGACTTGAGGAGGCAGATTCCTGTTGAACAACATCCCCACAGTCATGCAATGCTCAGCCTGGACAACCGCAAATGATGACCTTGTTGCCTAAGCTCTAAAGAGCCATGGCTATTTCAGAAAGGATAGATTTACATTATTACAACAACTGAGAAACTAAAGGACTTGTAAAGTATGAATCCTGCCTGGAGCTAAAAAGGCCAAAAACAAACAAAAAAAACCCTGAAATATTCTAGGTAAACTCTCTCCAGGGAGCACACTCTTTCCAACTGTGTGAGTTACAATCAATTGTGTCAGGTATGTCTGGGGTGAAAAAAAAATCAATCTTATTCTTTGACAGTTATATCTCATTAAACAGAGTGACATTCATTCATCTTGGTATAAAAAAGAAAGAATTCCTTTCTTCATAAAATCAAAATAATATGAAGAAGATCTTCACATAGAACAAAATTAACCCCTTCAACAAATTTCAACAAGTCTCTATTGACTAATAAAAGTATTTTTCTAGTGACTTGCAGTATCAAAATAAAAAGGAAAAGGCCCCTGACAATCAGAGGCTCACAGTTTAGTGGGGGACATAATCCTAAATATGTGATAATACATAATAATTATAGAAAAGGTGAACAAGTACTATCACCACTGTGTTAAACACTGCTGTGAGACATAGGAAAGAAAGAGGTTAATTCAGCTTGGGAGTCAAGAAAAGTTCACAAAAGAGCTACTATTAAGCTAGATCCTAAGTAATCAACTGGATCTCAACAGAGGCCAAGACTCTCTGAGCAAAAACCTAGACCCTGAATCCTGAGAACACACAGAAGCAGCAAGCAGGAAGGTCTGTATGGCCAGGGACTCCAATGTGACACAAGGAGAAGAGGAAACTGCAGCAGGAAGGATCTGGCTCCTGCCCATCTCTCCAGTCGCCTTTGATGCATCTTACCCCCTTCCTCCCTGTACCTCAGTGTGCTCTTCCTAACTAGCCCTCTCTTAATTCTTCAGGACGCTGACTAAATAGCAACTTCTCTATGAAGCCTTCTTGACTACTCCAAATGTGTAGATTCCCCCACCACCCACATGACCTCCAATAATTCTTCATCCTAGCACCCTACTCTTTTCTTCATAGCTCTTAGAACAATTTTTCACTTGTCTGTGGTCTATCTTCCACCAAGGGTGAAAGGGGCCCTGTCTGTTTCACTCAACACTGTACAGTTAGTTTCGGTCCTAGACCACAGTAGGTGCTCAACATTTGCGAAATGAACAACTGAATACTTGACTGAGTAGTTGAATTAAAAAAGGAGAGATGAAGAAAGGAAACCTGGAGCCAAATTAAGCAGTTTCTTGTATACATGATCAAGAGTTCAGATCTTCTTTCCTAGACAATGGAGAATTATTAGGAATTACAGTGACATTTTTTGCTATTTAATAATATCTAATTTTTAAAACTGCAGTAGTTCTTTAGTCTTAATATTCTTGCACCTTACTTACTTCTCAATGAAGATACAATAGGTAAAGTAATAGGAATGTGTTCAATTTCTAAACCATTCTCAGTTATTCGGCGTAATCGTCCACGTAGTTTAACATTTCTTCTTATAAATTCTACTGGAATATCTGAAGAGCTTGTAAATTTTGATGTCTATTGATTCACAAGGAGAAAAAAGATAAACATTTATTAGTATTTTCATTTCAAAATTTAAAATGTCAAATTATTATCTAATCATTTAACAAGAAGACATAACCATAAAAATTTTAATTTGGTTCTTAATTTATATAAATTTAATATGATTTAATCAAGTGTTTATAGGAACATTATTTAGAACTCACTATTCACTATTTTCTTTTCTTTCTTTTTTTTTGAGTAGGAGTCTCACTCTGTCGCCCAGACTGGAGTGCAGTGGCCGCTCCCAGCCACCACAGCCTTGACCTGCTGGGCTCCAGCAATCCTTCCGCCTCAGCCTTCCGAGTAGCTGGAACTACAGGCACACACTACCACGCCTGGCTAATTTTTTTATTTATTGCACAGATGAGGTCTCGCCAAGTTGCCCAGGCGGGTCTCGAACCCGCGGGCTCAGGCAATCCACTCACCTCAGCCTCCCAAACCGCAGGATTACAGGCTGAGCTACCGAGCCCAGCTACTATTCACTATTTTCAAATTACTACCCAGAGACATTAAAAGGGACTCCTAGTGGCTGGGCAAGGTGGCTCATACCTGTAATCTCAGCGCTTTGGAGGTGGAAGTTATAGGACTGCCTGAGCCCAAGGGTTTGAGACCAGCCTGGGCAACACTGCAAAACCTCATCTCTATAAAAAAATTAAAAATTAGCCAGGCATGGTGGCACATGCCTGTAGTTCCAGCTACTGGGGATGCTGAGGCAGAAGGATCGCCTGAGTCCAGCAGGTTGAGGGTGTGGTAGCCATGAGTATGCCACTGTACTCCAGCTGGGCAACTGAATAAGATTCTGATAAAATAAAAAATATTAATAAAAAAGGATTCCTAGCTTCTAAAAGCTTACAACCTCAAAATATGACACAATTTATCAAAAGGAAATGGCTATATATATATCTGTACCTGGCACCACACAAATCTCATTAAACGGTCTCTATCCTATTCCATGTATGTACAACCAATTCATGCAGGATCTGCTGAAAAACCTAAACAAAGCTGAGTCTTAAAACCCTTAAATGACAAAAAATTTTTTTAAAATTTTGTAGGAGAATAAGGCAATTTTTTTTAAGATCAACATTAGGAACTTACTTCAATCCTTAACACCTAGGTTATTCCTTGAGGTTAGTCACACTTTATGCCTATTTCTTCCACACTAACAATACTGCAAGCTTCATTCATAATTATGGCTAATTAAGAGCCCAAAGTGTCAGGATTACAGGCATGAGCCTTTTTCACTTTTTTTTTTTTTTTAGTTGGGAGACTCACTCTGTCACCCAGGCGGGAGTGCAGTGGCATGCTCATGGCCACTGCAGCCTCAACCTGTTGGGCTCAGACAATCCTTATGCCTCAGTTTTCCAAGCAGCTATAACTATAGGCAGGCACCACCACACCTTGATAATTTTTTGATTTATTGTAAAGACGAGGTCTTGCCTAGTTGCCCACACTGGTCTCGAACCCTTAGGCTCAGGCAATCCACTCACCTCAGCCTCCCAAAGTGCTGGGATTACAGATGTGAGTCACCACGTCTGGTCCTTTTTTACTTTTTTTTTTTGAGTTGGAGTCTCACTCTGTCGCCCAGACTGGAATGCAGTGGCCGGGAGCAGCCTCGACCTGCTAGGCTCCGGCGATCCTTCCACCTCAGCCTTCCAAGTAGCCGGAATTACAGGCATGCGCTACCATGCCAGGCTGATTTTTTTATTTATTGTAGAGATGAAGTCTCGCTGCCCAGGCAGGTCTCGAACCCGCGGGCTCAGGCAATCCACTCACCTCAGCCTCCCAAAGGCACGGGATTACAGGCTGAGCCACCGAGCCCAGCTCCTTTTTTACTTTTTAAATAAGAAATTTGGATTTATCCACCAGTAATTGAAAGAATATGAGAACCTGATAAACTCTCAAGAAAGTAAGAAGGAAAGAAAACTAGCAATATACAAAGAATGCTGAAGCTTGGTTGGCTAACACAATACCCACTACTAAACCCCTTCTTCCTTGTCGTGCAAAAGGGAAGACTTCGATTTCCAGAGTTACCACATTATTAGATTTAAATGGCCAGCTTTCAACAACAACAACAACAAAATCAAATGCCTATAAAAAAGCAGGAAAGTATGGCCCAAAGGAAAACTAATACAAAAGAAATAGTCCTAGAGAAAGACCAGATAGTGGACCTATTAGACAAAGATCTTATTTATTTATTTATTATTTTTTTAGTTGGAGTCTCACTTTGTCACCCAGGCTGGAGTGCAGTGGCACATTCACGGCCACCACAGTCTCAACCTACTGAGCTCAGGTGATTCTTCTGCCTTCGCCTTCCAAGTAGCTGGAAATATAGGCATACGCCACACGCCCAGCTAATTTTTTTATTTATTGTAGAGATGAGGTCTCACCAAGTTGCCCAGGCTGGTCTCAAATCTGTGGGCTCAGGCAATCCTCTCACCTCAGCCTCCCAAAGTGCTGGGATTATAGGCGTACGCCACCATTATAGGCGTAGGGCCACCAGCCTTAGACAAAGATTTTTAAATAGGTATGCTAAAGCTACCCAAAGAACTAAAGGAAGAGTTAGAGAAAGAAAATAATATGTGAATGAAATAAAAATATCAATAATAAGATAGAAGATATAAAAGAAAAAACTCTTTTTTTTTTTTTGAGTAGGAGTCTCACTTAGTCGCCCAGACTGGAGTGCAGTAGCACGATCACAGCCATCACAGCCTTGGCCAGCTGGGCTCAGGCGATCCTTCTGCTTCAGTCTTCCAAGTAGCTGGAAAAAATTAGGCCAAGCTAATTTTTTTATTTATTGTAGAGACGAGTTCTCACCAAGTTGCCAGGGATGGTCTCAAACCCTTGAACTCAGGTAATTCTCTCGCCTCTACCTTCCAAAGTGCTGGGATTACAGGCATGAGCCACTGTGCCAGGCAAGAAAAGAAATTCTAAATCAGAAAAACATAATAACTAAAATGAAAAATTCACTAGAGGGATTCACAGGCAGATGTAAACATGCAGAAGAAAGAATTTGCACACGTAAAGATAGGGTAATTGAAATTTTAAAAAATTCTTCTATTTTATTTTTATTTTTTTTGAGTCGGAGTCTCTCTGTCGTTCAGACTGGAGTGCAGTGGCCGCTCCCGGCCACTGCAGCCTCGACCTGCCGGGCTCCGGGGATCCGTCCG